CCATAAAGACATCTGGGGCTCTGGAGAGAGATCAGCCTCCCCCTCCTCCTCTTCCCCAAATTTGTTCTGGCTATTGCTATCCAGCACAGTGGAGCTTTTTCAGATGAGATTCTGTGTTTTGACCAGTTTCCTGATGTTTTTCTCCTTATGAAATCGTCTGCCTCTTCAGCACCACTTCATTAGAACTGTGCCCAGCCTCCAGCTCTGCTTCCTCCCACATGTGCTCTGCACTCCACCACCTGCTTCCCAGACATTCATCGTGGGGCAGCAGCAGCAGCTTTTAACCCCAGCTCCTTCTGCTTTCACTCATCTGAGAGGGCACCAGCAAAATGTTCATCTCATTAGGGCATTACTGCCAGTAAAAAGTAGTCACAATGCTTTTGGTTAGTGAGTAGGCATTTTTATTGCACATTAATTTAATTTTTCCCAGTTTTTCTATGCCATTTGCATTCCTCCTGTTGTTGCTTCATTTCAGCAAGGTTTTGATGCATCTCTGTAAAGCTTAAGCTGAATCTCCAGGTTAATTTTTACAGCTAGATCCATGTCTGGCTAGAATTACAGAATGGGCTCGTTGAGAAGTATATTTAGAAAAATACAGCTTGTCTCTTCTGCTGCTGCCTCTCATGTGTCTATACTGAAATATTCCAAAGAACAAGGGCAAAGTGGAATGTGGGTCCATCAAAGAAGCTGAGTTATTTGGGTAGAGAGGCTCTGTTGAACATCAGAGAAGGAAAAATGTGTTTGTGAGTAGAGAGAGTGGGGTGTGGATGGAAGGAATCAGGGAAGGGGTATCAGGAGAGGGGGGAATCGGCCTTGTGAGCAACAGGCTTCTTGTTGTGCTCAGGAGGGCAAGACTTTGTACAGCCTTTCTAAATGAAATGAAGCAGATGTGGTCTCTAATGTGGGTTATTTTATGGTTTGGGGTTGGGTTGTTGGGTCTGCTCAGTGCAAGAGGTGTCAGGTGTTGGAGTATTTACCTGCCACTGCAGCAATCAGCTCATGGCACCCATCAGGGGAAAACAGCAGCAGCTGAATGCTCTTGGTGTCAGAGCAAATAGGATGTGATCATTGTCCTATTAAACAGGGAGGGAGTTCTGAGTAGGTTTGGATGTTTTTTCACTCCAGCAGAAATCTATGTGGGCATTTCAGTGCCATTTTGGTAGAAATATCAGTAACTGAGTGGGTTTGAAGTGCTGTGCTTGTTCTCAGGCAGGACTTGCATCTGGGGTTATTTCATTGAGTGATCCAAATGAAATTCTCAGGGCAAGATGTAAAAGTTGTGGTGGGGAATGAATAGAAATCTTGAAATTGTCTAGAAATAGTGCAGTGTGTTCCTCTCTCCAGCCATCTCTATTGATAGGGCAGATTTGCCAATTATCTGTAATAAAGCAGCCTTTTGATTTTTTTTTACAGCAAGGCAGTGCTTTAATAGTTTAAAAGCCTTTTGTTGTGGTTACAAATTGAAAGTGTGGTGCTCTTTACAACAGCATTGAATTTATTTTTTTTTTTTTTTTCCTTCTGAATTGGATTCATCTGTGTTTGAAATTCTTCCAGTTCAGTGCTGGTGCAGGCCCAGTGCACACTGGAAATGGGCAGTGGAGGAGCTGGTTTATATCTCCCACTTCCCCAGGCTGGTTCCCTGCCCAGACCTGGGGCTTCACTCATGTTCCCACCACAGTCTTGTGGAACATCTCTCCAAGTCCTTCAGCTTTTCTGTGTGGGACTGCACTGGGAAGGATGGGAATGGTGAGAATCAGGGGAGGAGGGATAAGAGCAACAAAGAACGGTTCAAACTAAATTTTGACTTGATTGAATTCTGAGATAAAATTAATTTAAGGATTTACTGTGGTCCTGTGATGTTGGATCTCTTAATTCCAGGATTGCAGTCACTGCATTGTTATTTTTGGTGGATCCCTTGTGTTCCAGGCTGTGAAGGGAAGCCAGATGCAGTGTGCCCTGAGAGTTACCCAGCCCTGGGTCTCTCCTCCTGCCATTTTCTCCATCTCTCAGTCTTTCTTTTTCCATCTCCAGCCTGGACTATGTGAGAGCTACGCTAGGAGGAGATGCTGTTCTTCCTTGTTTATTTAGAGATGAAAACAAATATTCTGTCACTGAGTTCTGTCCAGTCTACCAGTGTTTTATGTCTCCCCTGAAACTCACTTTTCAGTGACAAGAGAATTTTGGCTTCCCTTGGGAGGAATCTGCTGCTCTTGGCAGTCAGGAGAAGCTCAAAAACACGACCCCAACCAACCCTAACATAAGGAAACAAAAATCAGCTCAAAATTAAAATGCTTCCAAAACCTTGTGTGCCTCTTGTTGAAGGGGACTGCAGCAGATCTGTGCAATCACCTGTCCTGTTGTGGTTTATCTTCAGATTTCGAAGCAAAACGAGCCCTTTCCAGTTTTGCGAACTGAAGAGATTTGTTGTGATCTGATCCGCGCTCTGTGTCCAGTCTGACGTGAAACGTTTTGCTTTGGGGAAGTTTCTTTCTTGGTCTGTTCTTCTTAAATTGTGCTGCTGTAAATTGGGAATGAAAGCAGGATTCAGAGGAGGTTTGGGCCTGGTTTGCAGAGGCAGGGAAAGGGAGAAGTGTCCCACCCTGTTCTCTCATTTCCCCGGGTGCTCCCCTGTAGGGCACAGCAGAGGAGGCAGGTGACCAGGGCACGGGTCCCTCTCTTCCTGATCAGTGCAGGGAATTAATGTGCATCTCTCTCTGCCTGACAGCTTTCACCACCCCCCTGGGCACTTTAATTCCTTCTCTAAATTGGAGCCTTTTCACCAGGAGATGTTGGGAGTGATCTGCTGGCAGTACCAGGAGCCCTGGGCATGGCACTGCCCAGAGAACTGGGAAACCTGAGTGCAGCTCCCACATCTCCTAAACCTTTCCTTCTTTTTCTGTGTTATTAACTGTATTTTTTCCTCATAAGCACAGCCCAGCCAGATTCCCAACCACCAGACCTCTGAGGCTTGTAAGAATCACTCTTCCATAATACTTTTCTCCCAAAAATCAGGATGTAACAACAAAGGTGACAGAGCAGGGAGCACCTTGGATTTTCCAAAAGAATCCAAGTGTCAGCTATGCCAGAGGAAGACACCTGACAATGTTAATTATCACAGCTTTGTCAAAACTGGCCTTAAGAATTATTGAGCTGTGGTCTTTGACCAGCTGTAGAAGCTTCTTTGCTTTTTCTGTGATTTTTTTTTCCTTTAATAGTCTCTTGTGTGGGCATAAATGGCCAAGAGCAGTTTATCCATTGTTTGCTGTGTAACAACCTTCTTTCATTCAATATATTCAATATCATCTGAATAGTTTAGTTCTGTTTCTTTATTTCCTCATTGACAAGCTGATGTTGAACTGCTGTTTTTGTGATATTTCAGTGAGCCTGCTGCAGAAGAGGAACCACTGCCTTAATTCTAAAGACAACGTTTAGTTGAAATAATTAACTAATTAGTCTTCAGACGTGCCCCAACCCCTCTGTGTCCTTCCTAAACCGAGGGGCCCAGGGCTGGACACAGCACTCGAGGTGCAGCCTCACCAGTGCTGGGTGCAGGGGAAGAATCCCTGCCCTGCTCCTGCTGCCCACGCTGCTCCTTGGAGCTCCAATTCCAATTTACCTGCCTGCCTTGGTAGCCTTTGCTGCCACGTTCAATAAATGGGACTAAAATGGGCAAAGCTGATGGTTTTGTGCACAGGGAACCTGGGGAGGATCAGTCTGGGAGCTGTTTGAACCCATCCTTGTGTCCTGACTTGTGGCTGGGTTCTTTTCCCCCTTGGACTGAGATTGATGAGAGGGAAGCAGTTTTCTCTTGTTCGGACTTGGTTGTTTATTCTTCTCTTACCTATATTACACATATACAGAGTACAAGGAGCTACATGCACTAAGATAGAAAGGTGCAAAATGGCTAACAAAGAACTTCTTCAAGGTCTTTTATATGTTCATTTACCCAATTAACAGATGCCAAGTAAATTATTAGTGACCCAACACCTGTGAGCTGCACTGCAGCATTCTCTATTCAGTCACTTACTACTACCCAAAAACCCCTAGAAGAAGAAGAAGAAGAAGAAGAAGAAGAAGGAGAGATGTGAAAAATGAGGTTCACATATTTCTCTTGTAGAATTTGAAGGTTTAATAAAAAGACAATTAGGAGATAAAAATAAAGTATACAGATACAGCCAGGTGTCTCTGCATTCAGCCAAGAGAGCACACCTTACTAACAAAGGATTGTCCCTTAAAAACAGAACCCTACTACATATCCATAAATTCTCATACATATTCATACATTCTTCTTAGGATTTTTGGTGTTCTTCTGTTTAGTTTTCTCTTGCCCCCTTCCCAATAGATCAATCTTTTTGGCACCACTGAGATTTACATTCCCTGATACCAGAAATGCAATAAATTCCTCCCCCAGAGTTCTGGTCACTGCTGTCTTCATCTGGATAAGAGAGTTTACAAAAGAAAAAAAGGGTCTCCAGCTATCTTTTTCAGTCTTTAGGTTATATAAACAAAAGTAGTTTTTATTTTAATACTGTGCCATAGCTTAACATACATGTATTATACCACTATTTCTAAGTTTCATCAATAACAGAAATAAAGAAAACTGTATTAATACAGCTAAATTTTCTAACCTGATACATATAACATTCATTATAATACTTGCAAAAAGCCAGTAATATGATATGCATTTATAACAAGAGACAACACCTTAAATCCTCCATCTTGTCTTGTTTTCTAAACTAGTTTAAACCTTTAACTTTTTCACCTAGTGACTTAAGAAAATTCTCTAACTTACATACTCACACTCTAAGTTTTTCTATTTAACGGCTGTTTTCATGGTGTTAAATGAAATTCAGTGCTTCCTTGGGCGTCAGAGTTAGGTATCAGAGAGATAAGGGCACACTCTCAGTGCCCCTGACTCCAGCATCCTTGTTCATCCCTCCCCTGTGCTGCAGCCACCTCCTGGCAGATGCCATGGGGTGAGCACTGGCCTTGCTTTGCAGGTACAGCTCTGGGGAGGTGAGGCTGTGGGACACACGCACCTGGGACTACACAGCCCCCGTGCTGGCAGCAGTGGCAGCCCCTGCAGGGGCTGGAGCCCCGCCACACGTCTCCTTTGTGAGGATAAACAACTCCCTGGCCGTGGCAGCCTACGAGGACGGTGAGCAACCACAACTCTCCTCCCTATTAAAACAACAACAACAGGACAAAAAAAAAAAAAAAAGGCTTTACAAAAATGAAGCAGCTGTGCTCAGCTTTTTGTGTGTCTGTAATCCTGTGTATCCACACTTGCTTTTATGTGAGAAAGTTGGCCAATAACCCTAAATGCATTAGGAGGCATTGGAACATAGCACCCATTAAAACTGAGCTTTAATTCCTACTGGAGCTGCTGCACAAAGCTGGAGTGCCAGGCTGTAGTCCAGCCAAGCTATCTTAAGCAAATAACTTGTTTTGCTATAAAAATATTAAATATTCTTCCACCAGCCTTCTCCTCTGGCCAAAACTCCCTTGGGCTGCTGTGGAGCTTTGTTATGGGGATGGTGGTAAACTTGGATGTCTGATTAATCCCCGTCCCTCTCGCTCTTGGCGTGGTGTGTGGATGCACTGAAGTGTTGGTTTGCAGTGCTGGGTTGTTATTATATACTTGGATTTAAAGAAATGAAAGCTTTGACCTAATACTTAGTGAAACCCTCATAAAATCCTGGTTGTGTGCATTGTTTAAAATATCCTTAGAGGGTTTCTATAATGGACAACAAGAGCCAGAGACCAGCATCTTCTGGATGTGGGAATGGCAATTAAAGAAGTCAGGTTTGGATCCCAGGCTGACTGGGATCCTAAACTGAGGGGCTCAAACAGAACTCACCTCCTATCATCTTTCTTTAAAATGTATAATTTGATACTTAAAATGTCTCCTTGGGTATAAATAAAGAATATTTGTAAGTTTAGAGAGTTTTATGCGCATACAGTCTTTGATCCTGGTGTTTCTGCAGGTAAAAACAAAACAGAAGGTGGATAATCCAAACAAAATCCCTAATCCATACTTTTATTTTAAAAGTAAATTAAATGCTTTACGTGTTTGAAGATTCTCAACATCCTTAGCTTGAATTATGCCAGGATGGTTTTCTGTGGGTAAATATTGTTAATAGGCAACATTTTCAACATTTTCTGACAACAGCAAATCTGGTGTTATTAATATTATTTACTCGAGTCATAGGAAATTATAACACAGGTTTAAGTGCTGGCTTTTTTTCCAGTGTGCCAAACAATGACTAGCAGAGGGTCTTTTGTTTGTTTTCTAGTTTCCCACTGACTAATCTAATAATTTGTCTGGGTTTTTTTGCCTGTCATATCCCTTGCTGTCAGTGCTGTGACTGAACTAGTTTGCATAAAGCTCGGCGTCTTTTATTCTTTCGGGTAGAAATTTTAATAGGCTCTGTGATATGGCAGTTACTCTGATTTGAGAAGCCTTGGTCAGAATAGATTAGTTTCTATGGGAATAGGGAAATAAAAAGACCCATTTTAGCAGTGTTTACTAACTGCAAGCCGAAAGCACATATTTACAGTTTGGTGGAGAGAGTTATTTTAAATTTTGGGGAGGGAGCGGACGGCTTTGAAGATAATGTGTTTGATTGTTCTTTGTTGTACTTTTCCAGCTCCCTTCCCTCTTTGTTTGTAAGTTTGACTAACCCAGAGAAACCATCTGCTCGTGTTGGAGGTGGTGCTGTCAGGCAGTCTAGACTTCCCTGGCGAATCCCTGGCTCGTCCCGATACCATCCCTGGCTCCCGGTCCCGCAGGGCTCCCGCAGCGCTGGCCTTGGCTCCCCATCCCAGGGAAGGGCTGACAGGCACAGCCTGCCCTGCTCTGCTCCTCAGCTCCCTTCCCGAGGCACAGGAGGCAGAGCAAGGACAGAGGTTTGTCCTCCTGGATGCCCCAAGTGGGTTGTCACTCCACGGTGGCCCCGAAGGGAAATGGGATTGTGGCTCCCGGTGAACGTTCCCGACGGCCTCGGAGGAACGGCTGCAGGGAGAGGGAGAGGAGGGAGAGAAATGGATGGGGAGCAAATGAAGTTCCCTGTGCCCGTGCCAGCGCTCAGTGGGGGCACTGGATGTACACCTGGGGCAACGGGACTTGGCAACTCGAGCCACAGTTGTGATTTTTGAATTCCAACCCACTGGCCTCATATTTCTTCTGCCTTGTTTCCTATTGTCAGCACTGGCAGTGCTCCAGTTTGATTTTACCACTAATTGTGTTGCACGTTACCGAACTGAAATGAATCAAATCAAAATGCTTTTCCTGGAGCATTAGATAAAGCAGGCGAGGGTTCTGGGTAATGAGCAGATGCTGCTAATGCAGGGACAGGAGAGGCCTTGCCAGGACTCCATCTGCTCCATGCTTGCCTGCCTTTGGCTGGGAGCCACAGCTTTTGGGAAACAGCAGTCTACTTCAGCCATCCCTCTCCCCCCTGCGCTCTGGAGTTGCATGGTTTGACTGGAAAACAATGTGCAGCAACAGGAGAACAGAACTTTTTCCTGCTGTGCATTAAATGCCACGGCCACCCTGGTGCAGGCACGGCGAGGAACGCGGCCCTGCTGCCCTGCTTGTACCCCCTGAGACCCCCTGTGAGGAGCTGGAGACCCTTCACAAGCTGCAGAGCCACTCCATGCAGCACAGGAGGGTGCCTGCTGCAGGGATCAGAGGTGCTCCTGCCTGCTGCAGGCTCCAGGAGGGGAATTCTGGCAGTGCTGCTTTTTGGAATTCTGTGCTCTTGTCATTTCTGATACCCCTAAAGCTGCCTGGGGGTGTTGTCCCCTTCTGTACCCTCTTTGCAGAGTGATGGGTTTCCCTGGGTGCCAGGATGTGCTCCAGGAGAGCAGGAGCATTCCAGGTGGGCTGGAGTGGAGGAAAAAATGTTGGAAGAAAACTGCAGGGGCTGGGATGTTTATTGCCATTGGTGGCTGTGGCTGCAGATCTCTTGGTTTGGGTGAGTGGAGTGTGATTTCCCATCCCAGTCATCCCATTCCCCATGAATGAAACAGGGTCTGTGCCCTCTCTGAGGAACTGTCCAGGGATGGTGGTGTGTGGAAATCCCCGGAAGAAGGGTGGTGGAGGTAAAATCTGGGAACATTTGGTGGGAACTGGTGTGGAAATGGTAGTGTGAGAGCAAGGCTCTTGTCACTGAGATCAGATCTCTCACTCTTTGTACCCTCAGGACCTGCTGGAAGTGAAAATTAAATGTAAAATGTTGGTTAATGAACTTAAAGTATCTACTAAGGTTAAATTGGCTCCTCCAACTAGAAATGTTTTAGGGAAAATCTCAAAATTCACAGCAACAAGGTTTGATACTCCAGACTGGTGCTTGCTTCCATCCATGTTTTTGTTATACTGCTTGTACTTCCTAGAGATGTGATATAGCTGAAATTAATGTTCCCACTTTGGAGTTAAAAAAAAACAGACACCTGTGAGGAGCCACAGAATCACAGAATAACCTGAGCTGGAAGGGACCCAGAAGGATCATCGAGCCCAAGGGTTTTCAAAAAGTAAAAAGAATTTTATTTTGTTTAAATCAAGGTGGCAAGACCACAACTCTGAAACAGGACAAACATGATGGAGATGATGTGAATTCAGCACCTTCTGGCCTTCCCTGTTGTGTTTAGAAGCTGAAGTGAACGAGCATGTAAACCATGAGCACATTTGGATTCCCTGCTCCAGCACAGACAAAATTCTGGGGTTTTAAATTTTTTTTTTTTTTTCAGATAATACACATGTAAATTGCTTTAGATCTCTTCTAAAGCTGGCAGCAGCCACCAGCTGACAGGAAATGCTGGTTTTAGCGTGGAAAAGCTGATGCAATGGGTCTTTAGGATCCGAGCTGGGATCTTCCACACCCAGATCCAGCCCTCCCATCCCAACCTTCCCGAGCAGGCAGCTCAGGTGGGCAGTGCCCTGTGCTGTGCCCAGCTCAGGAGGGGCTCAGACAGGCTGTGTGCCACTGCCAGACACAGCCAGGATGATATTTACAAATGAGATTTAACACTGTTTGCTCTGTTTGCGCTGCCTTGCCCTGTCGGAGGATTAGGGGATTTTAAAGGGAAAGAGATACTTGGGTTTGTTTAATTTTGTAGCAAATGCATTGCCTGTAATAGCAGAGAAAAACCTGTGTGGAAACAGATGTAACAGCTGCTTTTGCAGGATGTCTTTTGTGCTGCCAGCACTGCTGATGGAGACAGGAGCCTCCAGCCTCCCACCTTTGACACAGCAAGAGCTGGTGATGATCCCAAAATCTGGAGTTCAGTCAGGATCAGCACTGAGACACAGCAGCTTTATCCAAGTATTTCCAGCCTGGAGTGAATGGCAATAAATGCACCTTTCATCAGGCCACAGCTCAGAAATTCATGGGTTGGAAGTTGAATTTTTATTCAAAAAAATAAACCCCGTTTATTCAAATCTGGGGCAGGGGGATAAACGAGGCCTGTGCAGTGATTGTCATGTTGAATGTCACACCATGAATTACACCAGCAGCTTCTTGCACTTCTTTTCTCGAGCCACGATGGCTTTCCAGCTTGCTCTAATTCTAAATAATTTTGGGGAGTTATTGTTAGAGTTCAGTTGGAATAATCACAATCGGGGTGCAGATTTTAGCGTTCCCTGACAGCGCCGCTTAGAATTTTGATTTAATGACCTTCTAACACTTATAAGATTTCAGTATTAAAAAAAAAACCCCAGAAAAGATAACGTATGGCTGCAACCTTAACTTCACCTCAGCAGAGGAATTGCTGTGGGAATGAGGTGCTGGGCAGTGCTGGAGGCAGGAAGACAGACTGTGGAGAGCAGTGATCTCATCCACACTGCTAAATCTTAGCCTGTTTTTTTTTTAGTGCCACACTAATAACCTGAACTGGAATGGTGTGGGATTTTTTGTTCTTACCCAAACATGATTGACTGCTTTAAGGGCTTGCACAGCCATAAATACCTTTTGTTGTTTCTGCAGTGAAATGCAGAATATTCTGAGCAGCGCTTTTAACCCTCATAGCAGCTTTACCTATTTATAAATCCAGTGGAGTGCTTGCTTTTTCTGTTTTCCTTCTGTCCTGATCCTTGTGGGTCCCTTCCAACTCAAGATATTCTTTGAACTCTCCTTGTTACTCTTTACTTTGTGCTCCTTCATCACATGTGAATTTGTGACCTTACAAGTCACTTTATTTTTTAGATTATCAGGAATGTATTGCCCATATCATGTGTCACATGTTGCACACTCTGTGTTTGCCTGGTTAAAATACTTTATTTTGGACAGATTTTGCTATGTTTGAGATGTACTACTACTACTACTACTAATAATAATAATTAGTAGTGACTTGTTGGCCAAGATCAGAGAGCAGAACTCTGTGCTCTGGGTTTCCCAGTTTGCTCCTCCTGTGGTCAGAATATTTTTGTTTTATTTTCCAGAACTTTCATCCATTTAGACACGGTTAAACCCAGTGGAATGTTCATCACAGAGATGTGTAAACAAAAGGCTTCACTGAAATCAAATCACCCTCCCTTTTCCCCTTCATGAACCTGGTCTTTAATTGGGATAAATTTTCTGCTGAATAAAAATTGAAAATCCTCCTGCTTGGAGGAGCCTGGCAGCCAAACCCGTGGTCTGACACAGACCAGTTCTAACTCCTTTTATCTGATATCACTTTATCACTGATGGGTTTTCTTTTGGACTGGCTCAAACATCTCTCCTGGAGATGAGAGTTCCCCATCCTTTGCTTTGGGGAGGAGGTGGCTGAGCTCAGCCCTGGCGTGCAGGGGATGCAGCCTGTGCTGCCCACTTGGGTTTGTTAACTGCTTTTAAGCTGTGTGCAACCAGTCTGTTTTGCAAACCCAGTTCAGCAGTTATTTACCTTTCAAGCAATTAACATAATTACCATTATGCTAAGAAGTAATTTTGGGAAGTTCTGCTCTGAGCCCTTACGACTCCGTCGGGACAGTTTTAGTCGGGACTTATCTTTTTGATGGAAGCCTAATTGCAGTTTTGGCTTTGTGTAAACAAACAGAGGCGGCTAATTGTTTAGGCAAATAGCAGATTAATTTAAATATTCATCCCTAATAAAACAAAAATGGTCCCCATTATGGTACTCATTCCCATGGTGAGGAATATAAATATTCAGTGGGAGTGCCATTAGACAGGGATCTTAAGGATTATCTGCATTATTTCACATCGGTAGCACTTTCCAGATACCAAATAATCTTTACAAAAGCTACCATAAATCAATTTAAACTCATTTAGCTACCATTTCACTATGTGCAGTTTCATTACCACACTCTTGCTTCACCTCCTCTGGGACTGGGGAGGAGTGTTTGCAAACTGGCAGTGGTGCCCATCCACAGCTGTCTGTCAGGGCTTTTATGTCTCCTTCTGAAGGAAGAGCTGCCATTAATCATTTCATCATTAACGTGCTCCACTGGAAGGGAGGCTTCTCCAGCCCTGCCTGTCACGTTGGAAGATTGCTTCTCCTTAATTCAGTGCAAAGGTGGCCCAGAAGGCTCCAATTCCCTTCTGTTCCCTCCTGATTGCCTCAGGTTGCTCTTACTCCGATTATGATGCTTTTAAATAGAGAACTGGGGAGCCAGGCTGGCAAAAATGCAATTACAAATATGTTTTCTTTTGACTTACACTCCATTATTCCTTAGGATTTGTATTCTTTAGCTTTTCCCTGTGGTGACCAGGGACAAGACCCAGGGAATGGAGCTGTGTCAGGAGGTTTAGGTGCAGATCAGGGCAAGGTTCTTCCCCCAGAGGTGCTGGCACTGCCCAGGCTCCCCAGGGAATGGGCACGGCCCCGAGGCTGCCAGAGCTCCAGGAGCGTTTGGACAGCGCTGCCAGGGATGCCCAGGGTGGGGTTGTTGGGGGGTCTGGGCAGGGCAGGGGCTGGAATTGTGATCCCTGTGGGTCACTTGCAGCTCAGGACATTCTGTGATTCTGTGAATCATGCAGCAAAGTGACTTAAAATTGGAATGTGGCTTTTTCCTCACTGGTTTTGTGGTAATTGAGAGCCTCTCTACAACAGAACAAAATTTCAGGTGTCTGTTTATATCTGATCTCCAAACATGGAAATGTGAGAAAAGTCAAAGGGTCTTCCTCAAGGTGGCTACTAATCCTGTTGGAAAGTCAGAAATTAGGAATTAGGTACAGAGCAATAGAGGCTGGAATCACAGAATCATAGATGGGTTTGGGTGGGAAGGGACCTTAAAGCTCATCCTGTCCCACCCCTGCCATGGCAGGGACACCTCCCACTGTCCCAGGCTGCTCCAGCCTGGCCTTGGACAATTCCAGGGATCCAGGGGCAGCCCCAGCTGCTCTGGGCACCCTGTGCCAGGGCCTGCCCACCCTCCGGGGGAGGAATCCCTTCACATATCCCATCTATACATCCCCTCCTCCAGCTTCAGGCCAGAGCACATAAATTTTCCTGTGAGCCTGTGCCGTGGTCAGAGGAGCCATCCTGCAGTTCAGGTGTCCTGCCCTCGTCTCTTCCCCGTTTATTCCTTTGTCCCAGAGGATTGCTTTGCAGCTGTTGAAGCTCTCTGGAAGCCGTGTGAGATGCTGAGCTAACCCCCAGTGCCATTTTCCATGTGCAGGCAGTGTCAGTGTGTGGAGCCTGCTGCTGGGGCAGGAGCCCATCCATCACTTCCAGCACAACCAGCGCATCCAGGCCTTGGCACTGGCCCCGGCCGGCCCCGCGCTGGCCACCGCCTCCGGCTTCCAGGTCAAGGTGGAGAGCCCCGATGACAAAGGATTCTGGCAGACCCCAGCAACCTTTGAAATCCAGAAATTGGTGAGTCTCCAGGCTGCTCTGCTTCGTTCCAGGAGCTCCTGATCCACTAGTTATTTGTGGTAGGGTTAAGATGGTTCTTATGAAAGTTTTACAGCCTGAGCTAGATCAGGGCGTTACCAGCTCCAGGCTCTGACTTTGGAGCTGGTTAAGGGATGAGTCTTCCATCCCTGAAGAGCAAGGGTGAACTGCTGGCTTAAACTAGGAGTGAAAATGAACACAAGTCCATATGGTGCAGGAGCTTGGCTGGCTTTAATTTTTTTTTTTTTTTTTTTTGTCAACAGTAAACTAAGTTGGCTCATTTTGTAAATCAGTTTTCTCGCGTAGAATTGGAGCTGAAACTCCAGGTCTCATTCCAGATCCACACTATCTGATTAATTCTGAGGCAGGATATTGCAGGCAGCCTAATAGTGTCACTTGTGAAGCTGTAACTACTCGTGCAGCTTCTTTAGGTTGCACCTTCTGTCACTGAAGTTTTGAGAGTTGTAATTAAAAGTCATTCTCTGAAGTTTTATTTTGTCTCAGAGTATCAGCATTTGTTTGATAGGGGAAGGAAGTGTGTAGGAATAATTGAGCCTTGCAGCCTCTCTCCTGTAGGAGGAAGCTGTGCAGTCAAAGGGTGTGAAGTGATTTAAACCACTCCTGATTAATCCTCCCTCCAAAGCTAAATCAGTCTTGCAGTTCAGAAATAAGCTTGATACTTCATCTTTCTGTGGAATTAGTCCATAACTGGGATGATTCAGGACACACATGAGTAGTTTGTTCAGTTCAGCACGTGGCACTAGTGATGAAAAAGAATTTTTGACTGTATTAGAATAAATTAAAATAAAAAAATAAAACAAAAAGTCTGCTCTTTTTAGGTCAACTTCCTTAATCTGGTTCCAGATGTCACGGGGAGCCCAGTGGCAGTGGCAGCTGCAGAGGACATTGTCTATCTCCTGAAAGCAGAAGATCCTGGCAAAATTCTCCACTCTGTCTATGGTCAGCCCGTCACCTGCCTCGATGTGGCTGCTCACGAAGCAGCTTTTGGCATCAAAAGCTTTGGCTGGTTATTGAATGAGCCCAACCAGGTATTGTAATTATTTTCTGAGAAGGTTTTCATATCTTTGCAATTAAGGGAAAAAAAAAGAGTTTGTGCTGAGGACTTCCTTCCCTGCTCTCCAGTTTTGGCAGTAGAGAGAAGACAATTCAATGCAATAATCTGATGCTTCTTTGTGTTCTTCTGTGGGCTGAAGGGAGGGATTATTGTTCAACTAGCTGAGTTCACTTTGCAACCTCTGCTCCTCAGTTTATGCTGCATCAATGGCATCAGGGGGAACTCACCTCAAAAAACCCACCTAAAATCCCCAGTAAACAGCCCCAAATCCCAAACCATCCCTCAGCCTTTCTGGTGAGGCATCCTGAGCAGTGTCAGGCAAATGAACACCCTTGGTGGGGGTGGCTTTTTGTGCTGGGCTCTTGAGAACTTGGCCAAACTGTAAAGAGATTCTGGTGTTTCCAGATGCCTTGGGAAGAATTCCTGTCCTTTTCCTGTATCTTGCCTCCCTTCTCCACTCCCTGATTTCATTCCATTTTTGTGTTACGCTTGAGGCTGTCAGTAGTGAGGGAAGGAGGGTGCTTCAGGCAGCCAGAGAAGGGAACAGGAGTGGAGCACCCAGGAGCTTTGGTCTGTAGTGTAAAAATGCAGGATTTTCCTTGGCAAGTGACTGGCATGGGGAAGCTTTATGTGGAACTTGGTCTGTAAGGAATAAACGTGTCCAGCTGCATCTCATTCCCCTTAAAATCCCCGTTCACCATAAATACCTCGAGGGCTGAGATGCTGCGAGCTGTGCTGTCTTTATGAATTCCTTTGCTGTCCTAATCCAGCTCTTTCCCCTCCAGAGGTGGCAGGTCAGGGGGTAAAATTGCCTCATTTGGGGGCAGTACCCCAGTGATCACTTTTGTGCCTCGTGAAGAGCAGAGAAACCTCCCCAGGCCCCGAATGCCTCTCAGCAAAGCCGGACATCTTTCCTAATTTAGTCCTGAGCTCCCTGGCAGATTGTATTAAGCCTGGTGCATCCTAATCAGGGAGATGGGCCCAGACAGCCGGGGGGTGTGACAAGGACACTGCCTTGGCACTGCTGCTCCAGCTGACATCACGCCGGAAATTAATTACTAATGTCTATTATGATAATTACCGGCCTCGCGCAGACGTGAAGGGACTTTGCAGCGGCTGATTACGCTGGGCACACGGTGACAATCTGTCTTTGGGAGAGCTCTCCAGCCTGGAAATGGAATCCTGGAGGATTCCAGCCCCCTTGGCTGCTGCCTGTGTTTCTCCCCAGTTTGGGGTTTTCTTTGTTTTCCTCTGGGTTATTATTTTCCTTCTCGCAATCCCTGCCTAGTAACCTGCTTCCTGATGAAAACACTTAGGGAAACCATCTTTTTCCTCCCTCTCTCTCTTTCTTTTTTTTTTAAATCATTTTCTAATTTTAGCCACGTTTGACAGCAGAGCTGAGATCTGAGGCATAAATTTTGTGGGAACTTTTATGTTGGAGAGGAGGAAAACATCAAATCCGTGGCCTAGACTTGGCTCCTGTCAGATGAGAGACACCCGTGCAGGAGGGAGGGGAGAACAGAAATGCTTCATCCCTGAGAAGTTCAGCTTGTACTTCAGTAGCACCAGACAACCCAAATATGAAGCTGTATCTTGAAAGTTCTTCTGCTTTAGTGCTCCTGGAACTCTTTTTTGAAGTAAAGCTAGGAAAGATTTTGTTGTTTCAGCTCTGCTAACTCAACGTGAAATCCCGTAAAGTCCAAATTCTGAGATCTGTGTTCACATTTAGGCTTGTCTGGGGCTAATTAAATAGCCCAGATAATGACCCAGGGGGGAAATCCTCATTCCCAGGGCATGCAGAGGACATTCCCTGAGGGATGATGTCAGGCCAGTGACACATCCCTCGTGTCAGGGAGCCCCGTGATCACAGAGCTGCTGCAGCACCACCAAGGCTGGGCATTCACCTGTGGGAATTTTGGGTTTGAACACCATGGGGGAGATTAAATCCACAGATTGCCTTTGGTCCTCTTCATGTCAGGATCTAAACCTCATAAGGAGGCAGCAGGATAAATGTTAGGCTTGACTTCACCTGGTTTCTGATGCAATCTGGATCTGGCTGGAGCTTTTCTCATAGCTGGTGCCTTTAAAACCTTCCCTGAATCTGCTGTCAGGTAAGTCTGGTCTCCTGCTGTAGCTCAGGTGAGCTTTGCAGATTATTTCTATGAAATTTAAAAGTGTTTATTCTCCTGAGATGAGGGGGAAAATCCTAAAACACAGCTTTCTCCTGTATTTCAAAATCTGTTCAAAGTTTTTAACATATTCAGCAGTTCTTGGGGATATGAAATAATGAACAAAAGAGGATTTGGGGGTTTTTCTACCAAAGAAGCTTCATACAGCATGCATGAGAGAATTTTTATTGCAGATCTTGTCAGGCAGAGTTCAGTTGTGGGTTTGGTTGCTTTGTGCACAAACGTGAACCCGATTCCAGGAGTGGTGGATGGGGAAGAGAGGAGGGAAGGGATGATTTTACATCTTCCAGCTCAGAGGCAGAGGGCTGGATGTGCTGAGATCAGCTCTCTTGGGTGCTGCTTGTTAATGCTGTTGCTTTTGCAGCTCTTTGGAGCTGCTGATTGGCTTGTACTTGAGAAAAGGTGTTCAACCTTACCTGGCTCCTCTCAGCAGCCATGGAAACACTGCCTGGGTTTGCTCCTGGATTTCGTGTTTCCATGGAATTCTTCAGCTACTTGGAAATGTGAGTGTATCCAGTGGAATTAATCACTGTTGTGAACTGATAGTGAGTGAAAACAAATTTTAAATCACAGAATCCCAGAGTGGTTTGTGTTGGAAGGGACCTTAAAACACATCCAGTGTCACCACTGCCATGGGCAGGGGCTCCTCCCACCATCCCAGGCTGCTCCAAACCCCATCCAGCCTGGCCTTGGGCACTGCCAGGGATCCAGGGGCAGCCCCAGCTGCTCTGGACAACAGTAAATAATCCTTTAAATTGAGTTGCATAATTTACAGTCATTTTTGGAAGATATATTTAGGTCTTGGCTGCTTTATGTGAGCTTTTACACCTTATTTTAACTAAAATCCTTCTCACTGAGAAGCTGCATTGTATTTTCTGGGGTCAAATGTCTCCAGTTCTCACGGAGCTCTAAAGACTTACATTTTTTTAATCTTGGTTTTTCTTGCTTAAAAGGTGTGAGGTTTTCCACTTCTCTTGGCCTCTATGACCCTTGTAAAGAGCCCAATTTTCAACAGATTTATCTTTATGAACTCTTGTTTTCATAGCAGTAGAAGGGCAGGGCTTGCTGGTGACTGAGCAGAGGGGACTTGTCCAAATGTCTCTCTTTGAGGAGCTGCAGGACTGCAGGGTGTTAGCAGATCTTTGGAGGTGTTGAAAGGTGTTTTAAGTACTTTTTTCCTTATAAACTCTTCGGTGCCACATCAGAGAGGCAGAGCTCTCTGAGGAACTGAACTGTGTTGGCCACTACAAGAAAAAGAGACCAGCAGAGAGTCCAGAACTTTCCCTTGTCTAAATATTACAGGATTTATTGCTCAAATGCTCTAAATGACCAGGAATAGTTTTGCAAGTTGAAATAAATAAAAGACTAAATAATCAATCAATCAGTCAATCAATCCCTTTCTATTGGCTGACATTAAGGACATTCTGCTTTTTTCCCGTTTGTGCTGTAGTGTGTGTGCCTCAAAATTGGCACGGTGGCTTATGTGGGTGCCTCATGTTTGGAAAATACCCCATGAATATTACAGGTGATGAAACCAAGGGATTTAATTCAGTTTTTAAGGTTCACCTTGCCTCCTTTTCAATGGGAGAAGGTTTCCCTCAGGTTAGGGAAAACCTGGGCTAGAGGGGTTTGTTGAGTGTGTGGGTGGTTCGGTGGGTAAACACAGCATCCTCCCCACGGGCCCTGCAGCTCTCAGGCTTCAGCCACGAGTCAAACAGGCCTGGTGACCCCATTCCAGGTCCTAGCAGACATCTGCCCACATCCCAGCCCATCCCAGGCTGGCAGAGCCCCGGGGGCTGGCAGTGCCCAGGGCTGCAGGTGCGTTGGCAGCGCCAGCACAACACTTGGCTCCCCTTCTTGCCACCAGCCTGAAGCCACTCTGCAACTCACAGGCACAGAGAAACTTCAAAGGGAAAAGCAAACTCCACTTGTCTTTAGCTCTGTGTGTGCAGCAGGTGTTGGATGGGGAGGAGCAGGGAGCTGCTTTTCCTGCTGGATTTGCTGGGAGCTCCGCGGGCTCCGCTGATTTCGGGTTTTCAGGCATCACCCGGCGCATGCGTCTGCCAGGAAAAGTCACCTTTAGGATGGCATGAAAGTCAATTTTCCACATGCTCAGAGGAGCACTCGTGTTCCCAGCTCCCCACAATGACTTCTATCTGGCAAGAACTTGAAAAATAGTCTCTCTGGCTGATTGTCAAAAATTACATCATATTGGAGTAAACTGCTTTTAAATCAAACATCCATTATTCATGGATATTAACTGCTTTTTTATTTATTTATTTATTTTAACTGGCTGTTTTGTGTTTGATTTACTCTTTTTCTTCCTCTCTGATTGTCTGTCTGTCTCCCCCAGCTGCTCCTTTTAAATCTTAGCTCATCTTGAAATTTATGGAGCCAGAACACTTTATCTGTGTGCATAAGTATCAGCGTGCTGACCTTGCATTTGTTAACAGTCAAATTGTTTTTGTTGTTGTTGCAGTGTTGTGTGCCATATTTACAGTAGGCAATCCAATACATTTGCACTGGGAAACTGTGCCCCTGGGGCTTGTAAACTTTAAAAATATTCTTGTTTGCCACATCACTTTAGTACTAAAATCCAAGCTTGTGGCAGTGTGTACCATATGTTGTCTTTAATTTGATGAGTTCCCCCACAAATGCATTTTCCTGCTTTTGTAGGTACCCTCTGGATTGGATGGGTTTGACCTGAGCTGAAACCAGATCCCTTTTTATTTATGGTGGACTTGGTATTTCACAACCCCTTTTTCATTGGCAATATTTGTGTGTATTCAGGCAAGGTTTTTTTCCAATTGGCAGAGAGCTGGACAGAAGCAAAGGGGAGAAACATAATCTGAAAATAAATGTAAATTCAGTTCTCAGGCTTGCTGCTTGATCCCTGGCACTCTGAGCAATTCAGAGTGGTTTTATTTTACTTAAAACGACAGAAACCTCAATCCTGGACGGTTCTTTCTGAAAAAGCAGTTCTATAATGGATCCTGTGTGTTGTTCAGTGAGGAGAAGGATGTAGGGTTTGAGTGTGGTTTTACAATGTGATTTTTGCTGATATTTATCATCTTCCCTCCTGCATCTCCATCAAATCCCACACACAGAGGGGTTCACCCAGTTCTGAGGCTCTGTCTCCACCTGCCCCACGCTGCTCCTGGGGGCAGGAGGCAGGAATGGGCTGGGAAGGGAAGAGGGAGAGCAGCTCTTCCCCAGAGCAGGCGTGTGCTGGCTGCCACCCAGGACAGTGGGATGGACACCCCAGCTCTTGTTGAAAGTACCACAGGCTCTTTGATAACAAGTGCTCAGGGATTTGTTGTTTTAATGTTCCGTCCAAAAAAGACATCTCCAACAACACAGCATCCCAAAACACCTGCTGGGGTTTTGGCCACGCATGGAAGAGTTCCATCAGCAGCATTTCCTTCAGTTCCTTGGTTTTTCTTGGAAGTGTCTCAAGCAGAGTGCATCGACCACGCTTGACCTCACTTAGCTGTGAGATGTAACAAAGCTCACAGCTCAGCTCTTCTGGCTCCAGAGCCTTTAATTCTTTGGGAATTAATTTCAGGCATCTTTCACGAGTTCTTGGACAGCATTTAAAGAGAGTTCCCTGTCCCCACCGCTCTGCAGTTCCATGCAGAGCAGTAACTTTGCCTTTTTTCCCGTGCCTGCGCTCATGAATTTGCAGGTTCGCATCGCATCCCTCCCGGAGGAGCAGCCACAGCCTGAGCCGTGCCCAAGTCGCCCAGTAAAGAGGGGAATTAGTCTAATGCACTGCCTTAACAAAGGGGAGACTATGAGCTTGAATAATTAATACCCCCAGTCTGTGGCAGTGGGCTGAAATGAAGTCCCATTTGCTCAGCCTTATTAAAAGAGAGAGAGAGAGAGGGAGGGATGGTAAAGGTCGTTAAGGGACTTGTAACAGGGAAAGGATCGCCTCGGAGATGGATAATGTGTTTGCTAATCTCTGTGGTCTTTAACTAAACAGAATGCTGGAGGTGCTCTGCCTATTCCTGGCTTGTTGAATTATTAAGCATTCAGGGAGATTGCCTGGCTCTTGGCCAACAACTTGGACTTTTCATTTGGCCAGTGTTAATAGGTGACACTTTTTATTTGGGGCGTCGGATCCCGGTGCTGGCTGCACGGGGTCTTTAATGCTTTTCCTCCCTGAGGTCCCAGTGGGGCCAGGGCTGCTCGTTAGTGTTATCCCAGGGTTCTTCATTTCACACCCAAATGCTCTTGGTTCACTTCCCTCAGTTCGGTACCTATTAGGTCACTGGGCTTGGGTGTCCATTATAGGATTATAAATACCTTTAAAAGGGTAATCCCTTTGCAGTGTGCATTATAGGATTATAAACCTCCCAGAGATCTTATGCTTTTATCTGCCCTTTAACACACAGGCCCTTATTTCAAGTCCCTATTGACCAGGTATTTCCATTCTCTCTCCTTGGCCTTTATAAGGAAAATCCTTCTTGCCTTGGGATATTACAGCAGAGCTCATCAGAGGTGTTCCAGCAACTTCAGAATTGTCATCAGTGTGCTTTTAAATCCCTGTCTCCAGGAAATTATTATTCAGACTTAAGTATTCTGAGTGCTTTTAGCTTCTTTTACTTATCAATTGGTCAGGATAAGGGTTTGAAATTCATTTGCAGGTCATAAAACTGCTCAAGACGGGTTGAATTTCGAGATAGGCAAAACCTGGATACTGAAAATCACAAAGAGACTACTCCAGTGATGGGGCTAATTGGTTAGAAAGACATTTGTGCATGATAAAATTTAAAGTAAATTTTATTTTAACTACCAGTCTTGTTATTGATGGTTAAACTAAATCTTAAAAAGAATAGAGACAGGCATGAGGAGAAGAGGACTTGCAGGGGGTAGGAAAAGATGATAAAAAGCTTTTCTTCCATTTTTGTGGGTATGAGCCTTTATTTTTTTTTGCAGATTCTGGGATGCAAGCACTTTAAATTGGTGGCCACCTACAAGTTATGGGAGAAGAAAAAAGTCATTTTCCCAGCTGCTGTTACCTGTGAGCTTTGCCACAGGGCTGCAGGCAGGAGAAAATGTTAAGATGGAAAATGTTACGTGGGAATATTTCGGTGCTGCGTGGAAGTAATTTTTCATTCCAGCCTTTCATGACCATGCTGGATGTTCAAATATGCATCCTATGTTTATAGCAGAGATGGGAGCTCTGGTCATTTAGATAAATTAATAGTTTATGGATGTTCACTGCAAATAACAGCCCCAGGGGACTTTTAAGAAAGAAGCTTTTGGCCCTCTCCCCTCTGGAGTTTTAACATCCAGCTGGGAAAGGCTCAACTGGGAGCTGGAATACACCGCTCCTGACCCCGTCAGTCCTTGTTCTTAAGCTGAATTCAGCAGTTTATTGACTTTGTCTTTTGTTCCAAACTTTCCAAGGAGAAGTTTGGGTTGCCAGGCACAGATATTAATTTCCTTTGCACTGAAAACCCTTGGAGGTGCCTTTGCCAGAACATCATTATCTGTGGGTTTGGTTACTGAGCTGTTGGGAACTGGGCTGAAGTGAGAACAGGCTGTAAACTGGTTTTTACCTCAAACATTTCCATGCAGTTTGTAGCAGCTTTTTCCTTGGGGTGGAAGTTCAAATTCATTTTTATTTAAATTTGACCTTTATGTCCTAGGTTTTCCAATGAAGGTCATCCTTGCTTTGGTTTTTTGGGTCTTGAGGATGAAAAATGCCATGCTTTTTGAGACAGCTTCACAAAGAACTAACTGGGAGATTATAAATCTTAGGAACACCTAAGGAAGTTGGATGTGGATGTGTTGATCCCAATAGGAAGCTGAAATATGTCTGAATTTGCCTGGTCATTACTTGGGAGAATGGCAGGTGGAGGAAAACTGCAAATTCTCTGCCTCTCTTTGCCCTGTTCCTCGAGATCTTTAAAGCTTCACTTTGGGTGCCCAGGGGCCTCCATCACAAAATGATCCTCTCCTGCTCTCTTAATTCACCTTTCAGATCTCTGAAATGGCACAGATAGGAAATAAAAGGCCAGGCAGCATCAGTGTTCTGGCAAATGTTGAAATAATACATCCAGATAGTGCAATATTTACTGAGCTGCACGTGGCTATAATCAGCAAATTAGAAGTAAAGAATATGGATGTGGCATTGACATGGCTGTGCTGATGTTGCCATGGAAGCTGTGGGGTTTTTCTGATGTTTTAAATACCATTAGCTCTTTTCATGGTCACAAGGTTTCTTTTCATTTAAACGAGCATCACCATGAAATTTAATCATGTTTATGAAGTTATATAAGGCCAGGTGCAGCACTGAGCTCCACTGGGCTTTGACCAGTGCATTTTTCTGTTTCTAAAAATATTTGTTCTCCTAAATTGAAAGGCCCAAATAGACAGATCTGTTCTGGCCCCCCAGGAAGGACAGCAAACGTGATTAAACTGATGGAGGAGAGGAGTGGGAACGGATGGGGAACAATTCGTGCTTCTCATCCAGGCTCTGGTTGAATCATCTCAGATGCTGCCTAAAATCAGAGTTGTTTTTCTGCCTTTCCCATCTGAGCTGCCACTTCAGATGTGACATTTCTGTGTGTGTGTGTGTGTGTGTGTGTGAGGGCACCCAGGCTCTCAGCAGGGCTGTGGTCAGCTCTGCCCTGCAGTTCCTGCTGCACTTCCTCTCACTGTGCATCTGTCCCATCCTCCTCAGGACTGCTGCTGTTTGCTTTCACTGCTCTCTTAAAAGTCAAAAATAGATGAGGAAACTCTTTGCTTTTCCTGTACCCCATAAGATTTCACCTGTGGTTTGCCTGAGAGCTGTACCCAGCCGCTCTGGAGGTGCATCCCTGTTTCTTGCTGGATCCCACTGGGAAACCTGAATTCCTTATTTCTCTGGGTGTCATTGCCTTTCCTCACAGGGGTAGATGTGTCTCTTGGTTCTGTTTTACACACCAGTCTGTCTCTTGGTTCTGTTTTACACACCAAGCAACAAGTCCTGCAGAACACCTCTGGTGGTCACAGCTCTGTGCTGCAGCAAAACCTTGTCGTGGTGCTCCTGCTGAATTGATGTGATGTTTTATTCTCTCTCTGCCAGATCCTCATTTACAACCTGGAAACAAACCAGTGTGTGACCAAGGTGGGCAGCTCCATAGGTGACTTCTCATGTGTCAACCTCCACAGCAGCCCCCCCAGCATGCTGGTGGCAGGCAACAGGGACAGAAGGTAGGTGCTTCCCAGAGCCCATCTCCAACCTCCCGTCTCCACCTTCCTGTCCTACATCTGGCCCTGCTGGAACTGGTTTCTCCTCTCGTGTTTCCATCAAGTTGAGGAACAAACTATTAGGTAATAGTTGGATGTGGCTGTCAGTGTGCTTTGTCTCCATGGGAAGAGGAGCTTTCAGAGCCATTTGGTGGACGCAGTTGGTGCACAGCCCAGCGAGACCACTTGGAATATCTTCCACTTCCCCGCCGCCACCCGCAAAATGAGTTTGGCATTTAAAAGCTCACTTTCTGATATTAAAAAAATAACCTAAGGGATGAATCATGGAGGATGAGATGGGCCCGGCTGCCAAATGATGTCAAGAGTGTATTTCGGAACACTGTGATGTCCCTCAGGTGACAGAGGGAAAAAGAGACTTTCATATGAACAGATTCCAGCTTCTATTTAGCTGATTAGCAGCTTTCTCTTTAACTCCTTGGCTTGGGGAGTAGGATTTTCCCAGCTCAACGTCTGCTGCCAGGAATGGCCGCGCTGGGAGCAGGCAGTGCGAAAGGATTAAAATGCTTAAAAAGACCCTTTGAGTCCAATTTTTAGATTTCCTTTATTTGGCGAGTCGTTTGTGGGGTCTGATCCAGTGCACCAAAGGAGATGTGGGATGGCCAGGAGCCAGCCTCTAATGGCTCCTGCTTCCTTCCCTCCTCCTTTCCACACTGGGCACCAGGCTGCAGGTGGTGGTGCTCTGCTCTGGTGCTGGGATCAGATTGGAAGGCGGGCACTTCCCTCTGCCAAATCCCAGACCTCTGTCCCGCCAGTGCAGCAGCTTGCAAAAATGATTATTTTGTCAAACAGCTTTTTTTCCTTTTTTTTTTTTTCCTTCCTGGAAAATAGGGAGTGCGAGCAAGCCTCACACTTTCTCAGCAAGGAGGATAAAGGAAATAGCTGAAGTTTGACAAGTGGAATTGAATCCCTGGGAGGTTTTTTCCTCTGAAAGCAGATAATTGATTTTCCAAAGCACCCCAGTAAAGCTGCCTCCAGTTTTGATCTCCTGCACGATGACGGGAGAGGAGCTGGAGTTGATATCCCTCCCTTTTTATGGCAGAGTAGATGTCTGTGCCCTTCCCCTCCAGAAAGCTTTAGGGGTTTTCAGCTTTAGCACTGGCTGAGTTCAAGGGGTTGGATGCCACTAGAGCAGCAAGGAATTAAGGATTAATAGTTGGGGAGATAAGTTTGGCATCCAGGAGGCAGGAGCAGAGTATCTCAGAGGTCAGATCCTCCTGTGATGCTGCAGGAAGGTGCTGGGCATCCACAGGTGGAACGAGACTGGAATCCCCATGGTCATATTATGGAGTGAGTTTATTAAACAGGGACCTTGCCATGGGAGCTCGGGCTGCTGCTGGCCAGAGGGAACAGTTACTGCTTGAATTAAATACAGCAATTTCCCAGTTCCACTTGAATCTGCCCTTCTTTTACTCAAAACCATGATTTTGAAAAGTAACACTCGTGAATTGGTTTTGGTAGGACCTGTAAAATCTGTCTTCCCATCTGAAATTCCTGCTGAAGCGCCGCTGATTGATTTGATTCCTGAGCTGTGCTTTGCTCTGGCAAGAGGCCTCCTAGCAGGGAGCGTGTGCTGATCCTGCTTTTCCTTGGTGGGGAGGAGTGTTGGGAAAGCAAACATATGGCAAACCCAGAAAGGTGTGGATCCAAACGTGCTCCGTGCTCTCCTGAAGGCCAGGCAGCTCACTCCCAGTCTGACAGGAGGGTCCAAGCCTGGAACCTCCCTGGAGCTGGGATGAGCCCCAAGTGCTCCCACTGAGCCCAGCTGTCCAGGCAGGACATGCTGGGCCAGGTCTGTGTTGCAGCATCACGGGGGATTGGCAAAAGGCTGCTCCTTTTTTTCCTGAAGGCACATCTGAGCAGGCAGGGGTGTTCCAGCAGGGACCCCTGCCTGAGAGCTGGGTGCTTCCCCATGGGATGATACCACAGCTCTCAGCTTCCAGCTGTGCTTTCCAAACAGGAGCAGCTTTGCTTGGACAATGGGGAGAGCTCCAGGAGCGAGCCCTTCCAAGCAGCCCATCCTCTCCCCAGGCACAGCCCCAGGCCACAGCCAGAGCTCCTCTCTGCTGGGGCTGGGGGAAGCAGAAATGCTTGTCCTGTGGGATGGGCTGCGTGTTTGCCTCCTTGTCACACGGGAGCTGCTCTGCTGGAGCTCTGGGCTGCCCTGCTGCCTTGTCTCCCAGTCCCTGAAATGTGTGATTTGTGAAATCATATGATGCAATCTCCGCTGGAGAAGGGAAGGACTTGCAGCACCATTAGGATCGTAGCAGGGGTGTGGAATGAAGTACAGTTAATGTGTTGGAACAAGTGTGTTTTGGCTTTTTCTGGAATTAATGTGTACCTGATGAGTTTGTTCCTGATAGCCATCAGCTGGGAGGAACTTGCTCTGGCTTCTCAAACCTGAGATCAGTGTTTCCCTTCTCCTTCTGTTTTCACTTGCTGCATTTTTTATTTGTTTGTGTACTTTGCTTTATCTCTAAATCTTGATAAATAAGGATCAAACCCCACACTCCTTTGTGATAGGAGCTGGGTTTAAAACTTAACACCATTAGCTCTAACTGGTACTGTGACCTTGTAGCAGTGCTCAGAATCCTAAGGTCTTTTTCTGTGGTTCTGGCTGAGTCTTCAATTTATTTCTCTTCAAAATGCTTTGTCTGGGTGGTCAGTAATGTCCAAGAATCAGATGTACCTAAAAACTGCATTTTTGAAGTCAAAGCAGATCCTGGTTGCAGGGTGCTTGCTTTGAATATTGGTAATTAAGTCAAGGGTATGAACCTGTAATTCCCTGTCTTTTTTGAATTGCTGCACGTTTAATCTCCTCTGAAATCTTTGCAATAATAATCCTTTCCTTGATCCTGGTAATATCACCCCTTGTCCATGTGGATGTGGGCATGTACCAGGGGGTGGGATGTGTTAACAGCATGCCCAAAACAGGTGTTTTATGCCTCGTGGCATTGCTGATGATTTGGGAGAGGAGGTTTCTCCAAATTTCAGTTGTATTTTCTATCATGGACTCATAGCATCATGGAATGGTTTGGGAGGGACCTTAAAGCCCATCCCATTCCACCCCTGCCATGGGCAGAGACAATTTCCACTGTCCCAGGCTGCTCCAAGTCCTGTCCAGCCTGGCCTTGGGCACTGCCAGGGATCCAGGGACAGCCCCAGCTGCTCTGGGAATTCCATCCCAGCCTCTCCCCACCCTGCCAGGGAACAATTCCTGCCCAATATCCCATCCATCCCTGCCCTCTGGCAGTGGGAAGCCATTCCCTGTGTCCTGTCCCTCCATCCCTTGTCCCCAGTCCCTCTCCAGCTCTCCTGGAGCCCCTTTAGGCCCTGGAAGGGGCTCTGAGGTGTCCCTGGAGCTTCTCCTCTCCAGGTGAGCACCCCCAGCTCTCCCAGCCTGGCTCCAGCCCTTGGAGCAGCTCCGTGGCCTCCTCTGGACTGGCTCCAGCAGCTCCAGGTCCCTCCTGGGCTGGGCCCCAGAGCCCTGTTTAGATCCTAGAACCTGTAAAGACTCAGATGCTGTATGGGGGGAGAAATCTGCCTGAAAAAGATCTTTGCTAGCAAAAATCAGGGTGAAAATCCACTGGTGAGGAGGATGGGCCTCACTGATTCTCCAGCCATGACCCAGATGTGTTTCCCCAACCCCAAAGTCCTCAGGCTGTCAGGAGGCACAGGCAGAGCTGTTTTTAACCCTGTTTTTCCCCTCAGGGTGAGGGTGTTTGACCTGCGGCGCGGCGAGGCCGTGTGCTCCGTGTACGGGCACCAGCTGGGAGTGTCGGCGGTGCAGATGGACGAGTGGAAGGTGGTCAGCGGAGGGGAGGAGGGCCTGGTGTGCGTCTGGGACCAGCGAATGGGCACCAAACTCTGGGAGATGCACGCCAGGTAACTCATCCTGGGGGAGCCTGGGCCCTGGGGGGTGTCAGGGCTGCAAGGACGGTGTGGGAGTGAGAGGGTTTTTGGGGAGTTTCCGTGCTTTGGGGACAGGGTGCCTCCCCAGCTGGAGCTCTGTGTGTTTCTGAGGGGGCCCTTCAGCTGTCATGGCCTTTTTGCTCATTAGCTGAGTGTTTCAGTCGGTGTTGGGGAGCAGGGAAAGTTGTTCCCCCTGGATTTTCCATGAAGTTCAATCAGTGATTTCTCCCGGCCCCATTCCCAATCTCTTTATTTGTGGAATCTTGGGTTCAAAGTGCTGGACTGGCTGTTTGGAGAGTGACTGGTTCTGGTTGTGTCCATCCAGTGTATCCATCACAATCCCTGTGTTTCCCTTCATGGTGAGGATCAAAGCATTTAAACCCATTTAAATACTGAAATACCAGTTTGTACTGAGCACAAGGAGCACAGTACTGAAAGTACAAGCAGAGATTGGCATCCTGGAGCTGACCCTTTGTACAGCTAAATGAAGATTTCCTGATCAAAGCACAGGATAAAGACTGGAGAATTTAGCCCCTTGTAAGTCTGAGTGATACCCATAAAATGAACAGATAAATCCCGATTTCTTTATTTTTTTATTATTATTATTGTTTTTAATGCATCTTCCCCAAAGAGGAGCTAGATGAGGTATTTACAGCCAGGGAAGTTCAAGCTGGAGTTGTCATTGATTAATAGCAGGTATCACTTTCTGTGTTGACCCTGGGAATGATAAAGCCTGTTGTGATGTGGCTGATGCATTAAGGACAATATTCCATTGATTGTCTCCTTGGCATGCTCATTAGTGCTGCTGCAGGAGGAGGGCAGGCAGGGCAGGGCAGAGCTCGGGGATGCACTCCAAGTGAAACCATTAGATTAAACATGTAGAGAACAGTGTTTAATCTATAGAGTAATCAGAAGGGATCACTTCAATCAAAAGGCTTTCCTAGATACGGTGTGTGCTGTTATCCCTGCCTTTGGCCCTGTGCCAGCACTGGAGAACAGGAGCAGGAGCTGAGGGAGGTGGCAGGAGACACGTGTGGGGTGTGGGGATGAGCCATCCTCATCTGAGGAGGGAAGTGGCTCCTGCTGGAACAGACACTGCTTTTTCCTGGGGTTTGGGATCAGCTGTTCACCAGAGGGAAAGGAATGAACACCTGACTTGAGCGTCCAAAGGAGGGTCAGGAGGATGGGGAAGGGTCTGGAGGGGCTGAGGGCACTTGGAATGTTCAGCTGGAGCAGAGGGGACTGAGGGGAGACTCCTCAGGGGCTGCAGCTCCTCCCGAGGGGCAGCTCCGATCTCAGCCCTGGGACAGGGCCAGCAGCCAGGGAAGGGCTGGAGCTGGGCCAGGGCAGGCTCAGGCTGCAGAGCAGGGCAAGGTTCTTCCCCCAGAGGTGCTGGCACTGCCCAGGCTCCCCAGGGAATGGGCACGGCCCCGAGGCTGCCAGAGCTCCAGGAGCGTTTGGACAGCGCTGCCAGGGATGGACAGGGTGGGATGTTGGGGGGTCTGGGCAGGGCAGGGGCTGGATCAGTGATCCCTGAGGGTCCCTTCCCATTCCACGGTTCTCAGCTTAGCGAGCATTTCTAAACCAGCTGGGTGTGTGGGGTGTCCTTCCCTTCGTTTGGGGAGTGCTGCAGTCCTTAGGGCAGCC